ACGAGCAACACAAATATAGAAAGTTTTACAATAAAGACAAGGAATAACAATTTTTGGGTGAAACAGGAAATGACTGATCTAAAACATTAGAAATAAAATACGAAGATAATACTAAATAAAACAACATGAAATACGAAAACAAGACTAAATATAAAATTAAAATGCAAAGACTAAGGAAAGGAAGGGAAATGCTTCAATCCTCCCCCCCACACTTAGAGAATTACATTGTCCCCAATGTAACAAAGTAAGTGAAGGAAAAGGAGTTGAAGTATTGCCGTAGGACCTTCTACTGGTCGGTATCCGGAGGTGGTGGTGGTGGGTAGTACCCCCGATAGAACTCCGGGATGTACTGAGGATCTTGCAGCCAAGGCGGTCTAGGTGGAAAGTTTGGCTGGAAGCCGAGATGGGCCTGATTCTGCCGGTGTATGGAGGTGCCCATGAACCAGTTCACCTCATCAGTTCTGCGCATGAAATCCTGCCAATCATGAGGGTAGGCAGGTGCAGGTGCAGGTGCAGGTGTAGCCATCTGTGGGGAAATCTCATCATCCCCCTCATCATCACCCTCATCATCGTCGTCTTCATCTTCCTCCTCTTCCCCGACTTGCTGTCCGGGCTTGTAGCGCTTTTCAATGTAATGCTCAGATAAAAAGGCCTGTGGAGCTAACCGGACCTCCTGAGACTCATCAATAGGAACCCCAGCCAGCTGGCAAAGATGTGTGATAAGGTAGGAATGGCCGAGGTAGAATCGTCCCTTCGCATCCGCAGCTTCACGGATATTGCCGTCAATGATACGGCCAATGTCTATGGTCTCGTGGTGCCGGATGCAGTAGGCAAGGAGCACCAAGTCCTTTTGGACATTCCCCTTGTGAGAATTGGGGACAAGCTTCGCCTTGATGAAGTCCAAGACGCCCTTGTCAGCAGGCCTGAAATACTTGTAATCCATGTGGGAGGCTACACCCCCCCGATATTCCATTCGGCCGTCGGGTGGAAGAATTTTGCAATCCGGTCTAGCCAACCCGGGTCCATGTGGCCGCGGCCCATGTCACGATGAAAGTAATCATCGCCCTCATAATTATTGGTGTCGTAGTATTCATTAATAGCTTCCACCGAGAAGTCTACCGATATTCCCCGGATAGTGCAGATATTGGTTTGGAGGCCATCCTTTACATTTGCATAAAATTCCCGCACTAAATTGCTAAATGCTTCCCCCGGTTGAGCAAGGAATTGGGGTCTCCAATTCCACACTTCCGGGACTACTATATGTGCGCCCCGTTCTTTCAGGACCGGCCGGGTAGACATCAACTGGTGATATCGTTGTGTCGCCGCAGCGGTTGCAAAATGCACATACGGTGCCATGTCTTGTGGTTGCCCCCGGGCTCGAGAAGATTCGGCCCTTGGCCTTTTAGAAGGTTGGCGGGCTCTGGGTGCCATAGGAGGAACCTACAAAATACAAAATTAAAACAACAAATCTCAAGTACTTGATCAAGCATTCATAGCCAAAGTATCAAAATTGTGTCTAAGGTTCCCAAACATCTCAATAGCGGGCACAAAATTCACTTGGGCGTTTAAGCAAGCACCTTGTGGGCATAAAATTACAAAGTATATTTATGAACAATTTGACAAGTTTAACAACATCCCAAAAGTGTATTACACCATCAATTTATGGATACAAACATATTTAGACTATATTAAGCACATCAAGATTCTCAAATTGTTCAAAATTAGGCAAGAAACTCATTTAGGCAATTTATCAAACACCTTGTGGGCATGAACTTTAACACTACGTTTATGAAAAATTGACCTATCAAAATCATCCCACAAGTTCACCACACAACAAATCAAAGATACCCATCATAAATAGCAAGTTCTACACTCATCCTAGACTAAAATAAAGAATTAAAACTCACAAAATAAAGCGAAATAGAATTCAAACAACAAACGGATAAAACCTAGGAAATTAAATTAAAATTTGAGTGCAATGGTTCCAAATGTAGCAATATCAACATATTTATAGCAACAATCAATCACTAACAATCAACAATAAGCAATCTATCCATCAAAATTTCGAGATTAGGGGAAAAATTCGTGGGTAGGGCACCTACACAAAAAATAGAGCAAAAAGCACCTCAAAATCAAGAAATTAAAAGTAGAAAAGAGTGTTGATGTTACCTTGTAGCTTTAGGGAGTGAGTAGAGAGAAGAATTTGAAGCAATTGGACCTTGAGTGTCTTGGGCGAGGGTTTTGCGAGGGAAGGTCTTGGAGAGTTTGAGAAGATTTTTAAAAAAAACCTGTTGTTCGCGTTTTTAAGGTTCTGTTCTGTCTCGTCTCGACGCGTCGAAAAATTCCTGTAGGGAATTTTCCGAGATGGGGTAGATTCGACATGTCGAGGCATGGTCTGGTGTTAATATTAGTGTTACCTATTACTTAGAACTGTGATTATGTGCATTATGTTAATACATCAACATCAACTAGGGTTACATATTACTTAGACTTGTGTTTATTCTGATATAAGATTATTTACATTAGTGTTTTCAGTTGCTATACCTTATCATAGGTAACCGCTATTCTTATACTAAACATTATGTGTATTCTAGTTGTATATTATGTGTATTACTTCATAACATTATGTACATTATACATTTGCACCCCTGTAAAATTCTCAATCCCAATCTACTGCCTGTTTGGTGTTAATATTAGTGTTACATATTACTTAGAGTTGTGTTTATGTGTATTGTGTTATTATAGAAATGTCAACCACTACAACCACTAATCCCCGGAGATCTCCAAGAAAAGAGAATATTGCACCTACATCAACACCTCCAATCAATACTGATCCTTCGCTACGAGAAATTGACAGAGAGGGTAAACGAAAGAAAAATACTGCTACTGCATCAAAAGGTACTGAAACATCTTCTGAACCAGCAAATGTTGAAATCAGAACAGGTACTAATGATGACCCCAAACAGCCTGCTGCCAAAAAACAAAAGAAAACCCACACCAGTACAACTGCCGAACATAAGAAAACCCCAAAGAGGATAAGAAAGGAGGAAAAATAGAAGAAGAAAAAACCAAAACACAGTGATTACTTAGCTATTAGGACCTCCCCAAAGCAGCTTTGTGCACTTGTGAGCAGTTTGAGCCCGGAACAGCACCAAGTTGTTCGAGATATGGGATTTGGATCCCTTTTAAGTGCAACACTTTCTTCATATGATGGTGAACTTCTGAGATACCTTCTTGAGCGATTTGATGTTGGTAGATGCTCGATATATATGGAAGAGGAAGAGCTCCTTCTAGGAAATGATGATGTACATTCAACACTTGGTATCCCCAGAGGCCAACAGACTGTTATAGAGGCTGAAGTAACGAGTAAAGACCAACAGTACAAGCGCTTGGTTGCACTTTGGAGAGAACGGTGGGGTGTAAAGACAGGCACACCAACAACAAGCCAGATGCTGAATGGCATCATTACGAGGCGTGATCATGGCGACATGTTCAAATGTGACTTTATAATCTACACTGTTTCCACATTGATAAGAGGTTTCAAGAACATGTTTTGCAACTACAGGCTCCTCTATTCACTGCAAGATGTCAGCAAAATCCAAGACTTCAACTAGTGTGCTTACACAATAAGATCTCTTGTTGACACCACCTCAACATGGAGAAGCAAGCGTGAGGCAGCTTTCACCGGGCCTGCAACCTTCCTAATGGTATGCACTTTGTATATTGTCCTACAACTTTATGTGTATTCTTGATATACATTATGTACACTAGTATTGCACCCGTGCGATGCACGATCAAAATTTAAATAACATTATTTTTATCAAGTTTTAAAAATAAATTGTAATTATATAATGTATTAATTTGAGTATAAAAACATTAGTAAACAAATAAATAACAGTTGTATATCCTTCAAAAAAACAATAATAGTGTATATAATTTTAACAATACAAATTGTTGAACACTTGATGATAAAACACATTTACAGTAGAATATAAATATTCTTCAAAATCACTACATGCCATAATTTTATGTCTTTTGTAAACTATACTAACCTTATACACAATATAATCAAACTCTTCAATATTTAAAAATGAATTTAGAACACTAAATGTTTATTAAAAAAATATGTAACACGCACACATATATTTTTTACTTTATAATTCATTAATAACTATAATGAATTATTAATGACCATTATTTTAATATTATAAACAAATAAAATACAGGCATAATATTTTAAATATAAATAAAAGAAATAGTTTCATTAATACATAAAATTTAAAAATAACACATTACAATATGTTTGGCCCAAAACATTTTCATATAACTTACATATTACAATTCAACCTAATCCAAAACTCATTTTATAAACAAATCAGATTTAGACTAATTATTTTTCAAGTCCATTTGATTACCCAAGCCCAACCCAAAACTAAACCCTAAACCTATATTGGTATCTATATAAACTGAAAATGATTCAAAATCATTTCATCCGACAAAAGAAAGTGTTGCTTCTTCTCCTCTGATCTCCTCTAATTAGAGTTTTCTTCTCTCCCACCAGCTTGTCTTCTTCGTCCGATCAAAAGTCACTCCCCGCAACCAGCTCTTCAAAAACATCAGGTGTCCTTGTCTCCCCTATGGCAACGTCCGGCTTCTCATCTCTTCGACCGTCCGTTCAACAGTAACCAGCTCTTCAAAAACATCAGGTGTCCTTGTCTCCCCTATGGCAACGTCCGGCTTCTCATCTCTTCGACCGTCCGTTCAACAGTAACCAGCTCTTCAAAAACATCAGGTGTCCATGTCTAGATCCCCTATGGCAACGTCCGGTGTCCAAATTCACTACGGAAACGAACTGGCTCTTCAAAAACGTCCAGTTCCCCTACGGGAACGATGTTTTTCTCTCGTCTGTTCAACAAAACAGCGCAGTGGGTGGAAAATCGTTACCGAAAGTGGATAAATCCAAAAAGGAAATAATAGTACTACCAATTTACGATAAGCTTTTTTTTTTTTTTTTTAATATTTTGATCTACGTATCTACAACTTTATCTTGTGATTTACTAATTTGAAATGTTTTTCTTTCAATTTAGGTTTAAAAAAGGGGCAAGCAGTACGTATGCAATAATCCCTCCATCTCTCTATACGGGTAACTTTTTTTTTTCTAGATTATAAAAATAAGTTTATTTACATTTATATATATACTAGCATTTTGTACGCACGATGCGCGAAAATTTATGCCCAATATTAAAATATTTATAAGTAACAAAATTTAAAAAATTAGTTAAAATTATGTTTTGCAATTTCTTAAAGTGATGATACTTTTGAATTATCATATATTTGAATAATAATATAGTGATCAAAACAAAAAAATAAATTATATTTTTATATAATAATAATTTACAAATAATACTAAGCTAACACTCACATATATGATATATTGATATGGATACAGAAATAATATACATACATATTTTATATATATATATATATATATATATATATATATATATATATATATATATATATATATAATTTAACATTCATATAAATATTTAATTAAAATATAATTTATAATTAAATTAATTGTTATATGATAATTTTAATAAAATGATAATTAAAAATAGGAAAAAGATATGATAGATGTAGGTGTATGGTAAGATTGGTAGATATATTAAAAACTAACGGTGTTATAACGGTGTAACGGTGATTTTGTCCAATGCAAATGAATGTACAACAATTAAAGCAAAATGTATATATTTATTAGCATATAAAAAAGGGACAAAAATCAAGGACATAACTTGTATTGACACTTATTATGTTTTTAGATATATATATATATATATATATATATATATATATATATATATATATATATATATATATATATATATATATATATATATATATATATATATATATATATATATATATATATATATATATATATATATCGTGATATACATCCGTTAGTGTATATAAAACTGTTTATAATGTATTAAATCTTCTTCTTTTTTTTTTTTTTTTTGCTGATGATTTTACTTTTCAATAAATTAGTTTTCAAGTACTAAACAGTGTTTTTTTTTGGTGATAATACAATTTCTGAAGAGCTTTTTTTTTTGAATTATTTGAGTTTACCATGTTTTTTTTTTTTTTTATAAATATTGTTATTATCTTATAATAACAAAAAAAACATGCATAGGATGGACTAAAGGAACTGTATACAAATACCGAACTTGATGAAGAGAACTGAACACAGTACGATTTTAAAATTCCTTCTTAATTAAAGAAGGAACTGAACACAGTACGATTTTATATTTCTAAACAGTAACAAAATAAAAAAGAACATGCAGACTACGGACTGAATTGAACTACTCTCGCACATACAACTTGATGATGAACTAAACATAAAGTGGTTTTAAGATTTGGACTTAATTAGAGCAGGAACTGAGTACTATACACATCTATATTTCAATACAATAACTCAATAAAATAAATTATGCATATGGAAAATGATTGTATAATGTAGATTATTGGTGAATAAGTAATGTCTTGCAGTATGCATATTTGACCCTCTTTAATTTACTAAAATATTTAGCTGCATGTATGATATGTTTCAGTCATCAGCATTGATATAAGTTGTTTGTGTTATGTTTCATTCAATATGTTTTATGCCAAGAATAGACTATTATTAACTGATTACCTTCTTGTAGCTTTTGTTAGAGCTCATTTTAATATTTCATTGCAATGTGCAAATATAAGTGCTATGTATGTGTGTGTGTGTGTGTATTAACATACATAAATATATAAACTATTTGCTTTATTTAGTATATATATTTTCTTATTGGATTTTTAAAATCCTCTTGACATTGATTCTGTAGGACAGTGGTATTATGAGGAAATTCTAATCTTTTATTTATGTTGATATGTTGATTCTATTATATTATTTTTATGAACTTTTAAATATGTATTTATTTTATCAATAGTCAATATCTACTATTATGATCATACATTTCTTTTGATGATTTCAGGTCTTAATGGTATTGCAAAATAGGTTGTTTGGTATGTTGTTGAAATCCCTAAAAAATGGTTTCTAACAGTTGGCATTGCGAAACATACAGGTTGCATGGTATGCTATTGAAATCCCTAAAAAAGGGTTTCTAACATTTGGCATGGAGAAGCATACAGGTTGCTTATTGTGCTGTTGAAACCCCAAAAAAAAAGGGTTTTTAATAATAAACATGGAGAAACATACAGGTTGCTTGGTATGCTATTGAAACCCCTTAAAAAAGGTTTCTCACAGTTTGCAACAAAAAAAAAAACCTTTTCCTCTACTTGTCCCTCCTTTCCACAAAACAAATGACTACATTTATCCAAATCTCACCCCGTAGTATTAAAAATAGAGTAAGTTAAGCCTATATAATTAATTCAATTCTTCATGAGATAGAGTAGGGTTTAAAATTATAGAAAGGGAATTGTCACCTTTATTTCTTGAATAGCTTCATGAGATTGAGCGGCTACACCGTAAATGTGGGGTTTCACCATGCTGGGGGGGACCGTTGGAGGCTGGATGCTCAGGGCTGCTGATCTGTGAGGCCTGCAATGGAAGAGGATTCACCATGCTTGTCCTTTTACTAATGTTCTAGGATTACTCTTGATTTCTGGGAATGGAATGGTAAGCTTGTTGGACTATCCAAGATGATTCTGAAGCTCAGAAGCTGTTCTGATTCTGAGGCTTCTAGCTGCAGGAGTCCCCAAAGCTTGTAGTGGAGGGTGCTCCTGCCACGGCATAGATTCCACAATGGAAAATGACACATCATGCCTAGAAGAGTTTAATGGCATTTGATGAAGCAGTACTGATAAGCTGCTGTGAGGCTGGAAGGCTGGGATTAGGATCTGTTGATTTGTAAAGTGTATTTGGGGTGAAGGTCCACCAAGATTGGTGGTCCCATGTTGGACTGGACAGTTGCAGCCCCAATCTGTTTTGTTGAGGATTGGGGCTGCTTTGGGGTTGAGTGTAAGTTTGTGAGTTGATCTGACTAAACAGAAGCAACTCTGAAGTTTTTGGACTGCAACTCTTGCTACAGCATGTCAAAATATTGATAGTTGGACTAAACTGAAGTCTGCACTGATTCATAGCTGGGAATGGAATGGTAAGCTTGTTGGACTATCCAAGATGATTCTGAAGCTCAGAAGCTGTTCTGATTCTGAGGCTTCTAGCTGCAGGAGTCCCCAAAGCTTGTAGTGGAGGGTGCTCCTGCCACGGCGTAGATTCCACAATAGAAAATGACACATCATGCCTAGAAGAGTTTAATGGCATTTGATGAAGCAGTACTGATAAGCTGCTGTGAGGCTGGAAGGCTGGGATTAGGATCTGTTGATTTGTAAAGTGTATTTGGGGTGAAGGTCCACCAAGATTGGTGGTCCCATGTTGGACTGGACAGTTGCAGCCCCAATCTGTTTTGTTGAGGATTGGGGTTGCTTTGGGGTTGAGTGTAAGTTTGTGAGTTGATCTGACTAAACAGAAGCAACTCTGAAGTTTTTGGACTGCAACTCTTGCTACAGCATGTCAAAATATTGATAGTTGGACTAAACTGAAGTCTGCACTGATTCATAGCTGGGAATGCAAATAAACCTACAGCAGCTAGCTTACTGCCTGATTTGCTATGTTTCTAGAAAAGCAAAAAAGGGGATGAATGTGCTGCTCCTATGTGATTAAGGAATATTGTATGGCTCTGAAATCATACCAGAGGTTTCACCATGTATGGAATACGTTCTATTTATAGGTAGTTTCCCTCCAAAACTTAGTTTTAAAATTATGTAATCATTATTTTTTGGTTGTTTGCTTCTAGTATACGCAAGTTAGAAACCAATGGCTCTGAAATCATACCAGAGGTTTCACCATGTATGGAATACGTTCTATTTATAGGTAGTTTCCCTCCAAAACTTAGTTTTAAAATTATGTAATCATTATTTTTTGGTTGTTTGCTTCTAGTATACGCAAGTTAGAAACCAATGGCTCTGAAATCATACCAGAGGTTTCACCATGTATGGAATACGTTCTATTTATAGGTAGTTTCCCTCCAAAACTTAGTTTTAAAATTATGTAATCATTATTCTTTGGTTGTTTGCTTCTAGTATACGCAAGTTAGAAACCAATGTATCTGCTCTTGTACCTCTCAAACAGCTGTAATGTCATTTATTGCTTTCTTCTGCAATACGTAAGTTTGCTCCTGTACTCTTCAAATGGAAAATAGCTGTAATACAATGGAGTAATTAATTATTTTTGTCAGAGAACAAAGTAGAATATTTAAAAGATATAAAGATCAAATTTAAAAGGAAAAAAAAAATAAAAATGTTTGGGCGAGAAAATGGAGGCTTCTGATTGGCTGAAATTTAGTGGCTTTTATATATGTATAGATTATAGTTTATAATTAGGTACATTTTTTAATGAAGTTATGTGTATTCTACTATGTTATCCTGAACATTATTAATCTGAACAGATATTAATTTTGAATAGTTTATCTTTTTTTTTTTCTTGTTGTTTTGTTTCTCTATTTGAAGCTAGCATACCTAGACAAGGTGCAGGTTAGAGGAGGGATAGTCAGAAAGAGAATTCCCACAATCACTTCATGGACTTCAAGCGATTTGAGAGTAAGGGTCAAGGTTGAAAGAAACATAGGCGGCTTTGGAAGGGGGAAAGTTGTTGAATATATCCCAGTTGCACATCAGCCACCACCTCATGAACTGCCACAAGGTCAAGAAGTTGAAAAGGTCACCAAAGCATTGAAAAAAATGACCACGAGCATTATGGAGTTTTGTGAGGTCATGGCAGGGGTTGGGGCAAACACCTCTGTCGTTGACATTATAAAGAATGTATTCAGCAACTTATCCACCAATGCCAACCTCACACCAAGCCCGAATCCAACCCCACTAGAGAGCTTGCTACGAGATTACGATATATACAACCAGCCAAGTTTCTTGGATGCAGTTGCTGAACTTGAAGTGGCATTCCTGGCTACATTGAAGAACATGTCGACTGCTGACATACCTGCACCCACATTTGATCTGCTAACGCCAACTGGCCGTGATGCTACTACACCAAGCATTCCTGAAGAAGCCCCAACAAATGCAACTCCACCTGAAACAACACCACCTCCACACGAAGCAACATCTGAACCACAAGCAGCAACACTATCATCATCACCAACCACACCACCACCACAAACAATGGAAAAAAATACAACACCAGTTACCCCAATTCCAACACTCTTGGAGCAGTTGGTTGATGACATGGCTGATGGGTCAACCCAATCACTACCAGCCCCGGAACAACAAACTCCAGACCAAATTGAGTTTGATAGGTAAAACTCACTTATCACTTAACAGTATCCTTATGTATGTTTAATCTAGTAATTATGTACATTTATGGTTCAGTTTAATATCTCATCAATCATAAACCAAATGTGATTATGTATATTGCTTTCATATTTTTTGTGTATTCTACTATAATATTATGTACATTTTTATCCTTATTAATTATTTAATCATGCTATTATGCCTATTGCTTAAAATTTAAAACATGTTAATAATTACTTTTCTGTCTCTACAAAGCATCATGGCTAAATTTGAAGATGATGTTGAAGATGTCAATGTCCGGAAAAGGCCACAACGAAAATTAAAGAACCTCCCTCTAGCCTGTCAATTCCCGTACTGGACAAGCAACATTTCGAAGCTGAAGAATGTTTCAGCCTGGGAAAAACTGATCTCGGACTATGCATTCCTGCCACCAAATGAAGAGGAATACCCTTCTTAGTATGTATTTCTTCTATAACTTGTTATAATAAATGTTTTCAGTTGCTATACCTCATCATAAATAAAAGCTATTGTTAGGAATATATTGTAGAAGTTTTGATGAGCCAAATGTATTTTGTAGACCCTAATTTTATTTTATTTGAGTCAGTTCTGGTTCACCAAGTATAGTGCACCACTGCCATGAAGCCTAAATGAAGTCTACGAAAAAGCAGTTTGAAAGAAGAATAAATGAAAGCGGGATCATAGCTTAACAGATTTATGAAGCATCAAGTTACCACAGTTCGATTCTCATTAGAAGAAATTTTGGTGTAAAGATGAATTGCTATCGTGAAGTAGCAATATAAGGAGATGATGTCATCATGATAGTGATATCAGGTTATACTATCAGAATTATCGGGTGATGACGTCACGACTATCGGGTAATGACATCACGATGTGATAAAGCTAGTGGAGAACACGTGGGAGAGATAAGTCAAAAGAATTTAAGTCTTGGATTTTATCAATTGGATATCCAGGCGAGATGGAAGAAACCTTGCCAAGCAAAGCAAATGGTCCACAATTCAATTCCCACTTGAAGTGAATTTTATGAATTCATGATATTGGTTCACAATATGCAATGGAACGTGATATATGGTCCATGATACAAGGTGGAACATGATAGCTAGTTCATGATATGAAATAGAACATGATATATATGGTCCATAACACAAGGTGGAACATGATAGCTAGTTCATGATATGAAATGGAACATGATATATATATGGTCCATGATACAAGGTGGAACATGATATATAGTCCATGATACAAGGTGGAACATGATATATTATTGGGACATGACTTCATCAAAAGGAGCTATGACATCATGATAGAATTAGACAGAAACATTATTTTGAAGCTCTGTTTCTGCAGAAGAAGTCGAAGAAGAAGAAGAAGCTGATATACGAAGGAGATCTTTTTAATACTCAAGCAAGAATCAGCAGATAAATTATTTGATCAACTTGGCACATCAGATCAATAATTCAACAAAAGTCATGCCAGAGAAATTCAAATTTGGAGGTTACCCATTCCAAAGAAAAGCTTTGTCAGATTAAAGAGGAGCCACGACAAATTTATTTAAATCTTCTGACAGACAGCGAAATGATTTTTGCAGACCAAGTTGGCAAAATTAATTGATCAACTACAATTCAAAATGGACGATCGAGATCGAAAGTTGATCAACGGGCAAATAGCTTTCATCTGCTATAAATTGCCCAAGCAGACTTGAAGTGATTCACGAATCTAACAGAGATTCAGAAAACACTTGAACAACAAAGAAAATTATCCAATCAATCATCAAGTGGTATATTGAGCTATATAAGATAGAATTCAAGTCTGAGAGAAGAAATCTTTGTATTTCATTGTAAATCTTCTACTGAGTGTAGAAAAGGGGTAGAGTAACTAGGGAGAGTGAAAAACCCAGTTGGAGTGTAGCTTTGTGCGTAGCACTCGGTTGTAACGGGCAGAGTAACAAGGGGAGCTTGTGAAAAACCCGGTGAGAGCGTAGCTTTGTGCATAGTTCTCGTGGTGTAGGAGTACAGCTTGGTGCGAAGTACTCGGGAAAGCGGAGTAACAAGAGGAGCTTGCGAAAAACCTTGGTGGAGTGTAGCTTTGTGCGAAGCACTCGGAGAAGTGTCATTGGGCACTTATTCACTATTGTATCTGGGTGATCGAAGAATAGTGAATTTCCTCCTTGAAGTGAAAGGAGAAGAGTGGACTAAGAGGATTACACCACCTCTGAACCACTATAAATCTCTCTCTCTATTTACTTACTGCTCATATACATTTCGTGCATGCCTATATTATCTGTGAACTAACCCGTTACGGTTTATTGCGTATCTTTATCTGTCTGGGTTTGGTAGTTCCCTCGTTTGCATGCAAGTGAAATTTTATATACATCATCCTACATCTATACTAAGTGGCTCTAACGTGATGCATGTATAAAATCTCTATTTGAGCACAACACAATTTAAAGCATAACACTTTGCCGTTATAATTCCGTTGTGCACACTCTAAGTTGTTATACTTGTTTATGCTTGTTACTTAGAGTTGAAGTTACAAAGTGTTGTTTGCAGAAGGAGTTTGAAAAAGTTAGAGAAGTCTATTCACCCCCCCCCCCCCCTCTAGACTTCTCACCACCCTTTTGGGACCAACAAGTGGTATCAGAGCGGTTGTCTATTTGAGTCATTTCTTGACTGCTAGACAGACTCTTGAAAACTTCAAAATGAAGAGAGATATGGTTCTTGCTCAAAATTTGCTTTTCTCACTTGATAAATTTGATGATTGGAAAATACGTATGCAGGTGCACTTATCTGCTTTAAAAGATGAAATGTGGGAAGTCATCACAAATGGCCCTATCCAAATTATGGAAGCTAATACCGCTACCCCACGTGATCCAAATGCTCCACGATATATTCCAAAGCCAAAAATGGAGTGGACAAAGGAAGATAGAGGACGAAATAACTTGGACAATATTGCCAAGGACATTTTGTTCAAAACCGTCGATGACACCATATTCCCAAAAATTCGAAAGTGCACCACGGCAAAAGAAATATGGGATACGCTCATAAGCATCGGTGAAGGCGACGAACAAGAAAAAGACAACAAACTAACCATCGCC